AGAGTTAATCACTCTCTAAATTATACACAACACCCACACACACAGTTTATCATGTCCAAGGACAGCTAATCCTAGTAAGAATAATAGCACAATTCACAAAGATGCAGGTCGAGCCCCAACTTGAAACCATATACGCTGCGGAGAAATTTAAGTGTTACATGCTAAAACTCCAAAACCAAGAGGAAACAAAAACATCAGTGGATCTTAAAATACATCCAAGGGAGGAAGCCAAGTGAAGGATAAGTGCAGCCACTTATTCAGGGACTCGGGGGCGAGGCAATGGCAGATAGGCTGAATAAATAAGTTCATGGTCTTGGTCTTTACAGAAGACCTCAGGAAGATTCTCACTTGAACCTGACAAGCGGGTGGTAGGAGATCAGATAGTGGTAAATACGCAGGATGTTCCAGACCTGGTTGGCAGTGTAGATGTAGACAAGTCACATCTTTATATATGACCCCTGAGTGGCCAACTTGTGCCTCTTTTTTTTTTTTTTTAAAGATTTTATTTATTTATTTGACAGAGAGAGACACAGCGAGAGAGGGAACACAAGCAGGGGGAGTGGGAGAGGGAGAAGCAGGCCTCCCGCGGAGCAGGGAGCCCGATGCGGGGCCCGATCCCAGAAACCTGGGATCATGACCTGAGCCAAAGGCAGACGCTTAACGACTGAGCCACCCAGGTGCCCCAGGAAGCTAAATTTATTTATTTTTTATTTTTATTTTTTTAAAGATTTTATTTATTTATTTGACAGAGAGAGACACAGCGAGAGAGGGAACACAAGCAGGGGGAGTGGGAGAGGGAGAACCAGGCTTCCCGTGGAGCTGGGAGCCCGATGCGGGGCTCGATCCCAGGACCCTGGGATCATGACCTGAGCCAAAGGCAGATAGTTAATGACTGAGCCACCCAGGCGTCCCTAGGAGTTTTTTTTTTTGAAGCCCTTAGAGAGCTACTGAGCCAGTGAGAAAATGAAGGGTAAGATCCTGGAGAGAAAGGAAGTAGAGAGAATCAAAGTACAAAGCCATGTCCCTAAAACCAGTGCCACTTTTTCCCTTGAGGCAATTTTCTTTTTTTTTTTTTTTAAGATTTTATTTATTTATTTGACAGAGAGAGATACAGCGAGAGAGGGAACACAAGCAGGGGGAGTGGGAGAGGGAGAAGCAGGCTTCCCGCCGAGCAGGGAGCCGGATGCGGGGCTTGATCCCAGGACCCTGGGATCATGACCTGAGCCGAAGGCAGACGCTTAACAACTGAGCCACCCAGGCGCCCCAAAGTATTCTTTTTTAAATGAGAAAAAGAAAAAAAAGTAAAAACCTGTCTCGGCTCATAGGCCATATAGAAACAGGCAGTTCACTGTTGCTGACCAACACCTGCTCTATACTCAGCAACACTGCAAGGAACTAAAAGTAAAAGTAGAAGACAAGGTTCTTCAACAGAAGTAACTTACCTTGTTGGAGAGAAAACAGTAGCACAAAAAAGCTTCAAAAATATATTCATTGTCTGTACTTTCCTATGTTTTCCTATTACTAAATTAGTGCCCTTTTGTTTCAGCTTAAAGAACTTCCTTTAACATTTCTTTTTTTTTTTTTTTAAGATTTATTTATTTATTTGACAGAGAGAGACACAGCGAGAGAGGGAACACAAGCAGGGGGAGTGGGAGAGGGAGAAGCAGGCTCTCTGTGGAGCAGGGAGCCCGATGTGGGGCTCGATCCCAGGACCCTGGGATCATGATCTGAGCCGAAGGCAGACGCTTAACGACTGAGCCACCCACGTGCCCCCAACTTGTGCCTCTTTCATGAAGTTATTGGCTATTGGGTTAGCATGGATTTGTTAAATCCCAGCACACCAGAAATTGCAGAGGGCATGCCGTGAAGGTTAAGCGGAACAAATTAAAGACGAACAGCCAGGAAAAAGTCTTTAACAGTAGTTAGCACACTTGAATTCGTTACCCCCAAAGATGTGGGCTAAAAATATAGATGGTCCAAAAGTTTAGAAAAATTCAGAGGTGACACAGCCAACATGGGAACTAGGCTTTCAGGGGAGCAATGAGGCCTGAGGGTAAGGGACTTTGAAAGTAATATTGCCCGGGGGATACACAAGTGCTCCCCATATTTTCCTGGTACCATTGGGCTGGGTATCTTGGAACCCCTGCATAGCAGGAGCCCCTCTCTCTTGCTGAGTTTTGTTATCCTCACTTTCAGCCTTGGCTTTTGGTCTCATGGGCCCTAAAGGCCCGGTGGGCAGCCACTGTGCTTCTGCCTGTGATATATATATACAGAGTACAATGTATTCTGCAGAACCAAGAAACAGACGCTGTACCTGCCCAGGGCAAGGGAGAGGCTGAGCTCACACTCCACCTCTGGCTTCCAGAAACGCTAAGTGTTCTCAAGGGATGAAATCTGCCAAAGCCTCATCCCACCTCCCTCCATCCTCAAGGCCCACCTGTCCCTGTGGAAGTGCTAATGAGTTCTCTGCCAGAGGACATGGGTGACACTGGGGAAGGAAGCAATTTCTGTCAACAATCATCCGTTTCTAGATTCCCTTTTCCATCTGCCCCCCAACCAATAAAAATAAGTGAAGGCTCTGTGACCTCTGGAATGGGCGATAATATATAAAACATGCTGAGGAGAGCATCATCAGGGTGTTTATTATGACCTCCAGGAGACAAGGATCAGGGATCTGGAGGGTCAGTGCACCAGGATGACACCGCCGAATGGGAAACACATGCTTCAAGCTGTCCTTATTTTAAATGAAAACAATAGATGCAGGGAAATCTTGCTATTTCCAGGTCACGTGCCTTAGCAAATTCCAACACAAAGACCACCTGAATGTCAAGAGGCCATGTGCAGAGAGCTACCTCTGAACACGGAGGAGCCGGCCCCAGGCAGAAATAACACAGTAACATAACCCTAGGAGGAAAATGTGTTTTCAGTTACACCAGGGCCCTGCCAGGCCTCTTCCACAGGCTCTTCCTAAATAGGAACTTGGCAGTGGGATTCGTTGGGCTGGAGGGGACGTCCTTGGCTCCAGAGGTGAGGCCCTCTGGGGTCTTGAGCAAAGTTGGACAGAAGTTCTTTCTCCCTGCTGGTAATAACACTGAGGAATCAGCGTCACATCCATTTTATTAATTTTCCTGACAGGCAGCTCTCGTTCCATGCAGGCACCACAAAATCAAAACATACGCATGTCAAGTGCCCCATGTGTGGTAGGGCCCTGCCAAGACCGTGTTACATCAACACAAGGAAGCGGAGCCCAGGTCTCAGACCCTGTGCCTGGGCCTGTGGATAACTCCCTGCTGGAGGAAACCCCCAGAGCTTGGTTGAATGAGCCAGAAGAGCTCTCTTGGTGACAGTCCTTTATCCTGGGGTCTGGGTTCCTTGTGTTGAACACAAGAGCCATTGGAGACACAGGCTACATCTGGCTTTGGGGCATGCCTCTCAGTCCTGCCACACAGACCCCCCTGGCAACTCCATTTTGCCTGCATTCAGTTTCATCCAGGCAGGGGAACAGCAGCCTGGATTAAAGAAGCCATTAAAAAAAAAAAAAACAAAAAGCCACACAATGTCCTTACTTGTGAGCTGGGTCTGAGCCTGGAGTTCTGTGGAGTTGAGGTCTTTGGGTACATAGTGAGCTGAAGGAATTTTTTGATCAAGGCATCCTTTGCTAAAGTGATGGAAGGGACTCCAAAACAATTTGTCCTTTTACATAAAGGATTATTATCTATGAATTGCCTAAGTACTGTAAATTAGGTGGGTACAGAGGGTTAAGGGCCGAGAGAAAAGCCCTGCTCTAATCACACGGCTGGGGATGCCCAGGGCGAGCACGCGCATGGAGTCGGTCCATCACCTGCAGCCGCACTCTTCCCACCCATCCTTCCCACTGACCCCAGGGCCATCGCCTCGACTCCCCCGGACAACTGACCACCAGTGCCACGTACAGCGGTGATGGCAGCCAAGGGCTAGAGGTCTCACACCTTGGATTGCAGCGCTTCCAGCCCCCTTCGTGGGACCTCCTGGTAACTCCAAATTTCCCACCTCCATCCCTACTCGTGCAGGAAGGGGAAATGGAAGTCCAAATCCTGAGCTAATGGCCACCAGTGCCAAGTCAGAAAGGCCCAAACTGGGCAGGTTTTACTGTCCTGGTCTGCCTCCTTGATGGTCTAGGCTAAGAACAATCCAAGGATGAGGACTGGTGTTATCATTACCCAATGTGCCCCAAACGCCCTCTTAGGAGGGTGCCTGGGCCCTCGACCCAATGTCCCAGAAACGGGCCTGGCCTGGGCTGGCCGCTGTCCCGGCCTGGCCTGTGAGGACAGAGCTGGGTCTTTCGTTGCCTGGGTTGGTCCAGCAGGCAGGGGCCACTCTGGAGACACTGGCGTGGCTGCCCAGTCAGCTCTGTGGGTTGAGCCGGCTGATGAGGAGGCGAGCAGAGCCAGACCGCCTGTCTCACGGCGTACGGGGCGCCACTGCTGAGGGTTCGGTCCCTCGTTTCACTCTCCATTCAAATAACCATGGCATGTCAGCCCTGCTGGCCTCCTTGATTGTGCAGAAATAAATAAATGAATTATTTTGTTGGGGTTTGGGCTTCAGCACAAACACATGGTCTGCATTTATCCACACAGTGAGAGGTCTACCAGCCACTTGATGTAAAAAAGCAAAATGATAATTCTTTTCTTTAGGCGCTCTGGTGCCATATGGAATGTATATAAATCATATTTTTGTTTTAACAGCGGAGGCTTTGTTGATAGATAAACATGTGGTTTATCTAAAAAAAAAAGAGGATTGTGCTTTGAACAATCATTTAATGGCCGTGGATGTGCCAAATAAAAATAAAAACATAATTTTGGAAGAAGTTGGCCTCGTGCCCAAATCTGTAGCAAGGAATTTCTCCTTAACCAAAGTGGTTAAAGCCCGTCGATCTGTTTTGAGTTTAAGCTATGCTCTCTACTCAACCCCACGACAAACCGAATCCGGGGCTAATGGGCTCTAATAGGACAAGACGTTACCTTTATGAATGACCTCATGGAGAAGAGGTTGGCGAGCATGGTGGAGAGGCCTTGAGCCAGGCAGCTCTGGGCTATGAACCCCAGCTTCAGCTCTGCGAGGCAGATTGCATCATCCCCCTCTTTCCAATTCCAGCTCGGGATGTTTAGCAGATGGGCCTGTGGAAGCAAAAGCAAGGTATGAGACCTTAGGTTGCTAAATGTTCAATTATTGTAAATCTCCTCTGGGAAATGCAGCATTGCCCAACTGCTCCGAGGCATTCAGACTCATCCTTCCTTTCTCTCGCCTGAGCCTGCTGTTTGCTGTTTCATTCGACTCTCCTATTCAGCAGACTTCAGTCTTCAGTGGCCTCTCCAGAACATTGCTTCTGTGCCTCCCAAACCCAGGTCTTCCCCTCGGGTTTGTCACCTAGCCAAACAGAGTCCACAGGGAATTTCCTCTTGTGACAGACACATCGGCCCATGCTACTAGGATGTCTGGCTAGGTTGTTCATAAATTGGCTCCTCAAACAGACTCAAGACTGTCAGATGCCTGTGTGTTTTAGAATCCTTTTTTATTTGCATCCCCGAAACTCCAGGTCAGTGGCCCCCAAGTCTGAGTGGGCCTCAGAATCACCTCGTGGGTTGATAGACATATTGCCGGCCCCTCCTTCAGAGTTTCTGATCTGGTAAGGTGCAGGGCGAGGCTGGAGAATTCGCATTTCTAATAAGTTCGAGGTGCTGCTGAGCTGCTGATCCAGGGACCACACCTTGAGAAGCACTGACCTAAATCATCAGGCAAATCACAGTGTAGACATATTACAACATCTTGCAGATGGACTGATCCTATTAGGTCACACCCCAAGATAAGGACCCAGACATGCTCTTCCGATTAGTTTTAAGTGGCATGAAGCAGAGAGTCAGAGATCATATGTTGGATGAAGGAATCAAGATTCAAAAACTTCTCCAGGGTTGAAAAAATGGGCAGAAAACCAACCAGGGAAGATTTTAAAGGCCTTAATGTCAAGCACAGCATTTAGGTTCAAAAAAAAAAAAAAAATCAACTGTATAAATTCAAAATGAGAAGACCTAACTTGGCAGTAGAGCTGAGGGGAAAGAAGAAAAAAAAACTTAAGTGTGTGGATAACTCAAATCCCAAAAAGAGGCCAACCGTGTGACAGATTACAGAGAAAGCCAATGCTTGCTTGTTAGAAATGGTCTCCAGATCAAGGGAAATGAATGTTTCATTCTGTTGTGAACTGGTCAGGCTAGTTCCAGAGTACTTGATCCAGTTGTAACAGTCAGATTTAAAGAGGGAAACTGATAAATTGAATAACTTCCAGAGAAAAATGACAAGCACAAGGAGAGATGGGGGTTCTGGAAAACATCTTTAGAGAAACAGTTAAGAGAGCCAGCAGTGTTTGGCCTGCAGAAGGGCCACAGCCTCACAGAGACGGGATGGTGACAACCTCTGAATACCTCAGGTGCTGAAGAGGGATTGTCCTGCTTTGTTCCAGGGGCCAGAATTAGGACTGACTGGTACACGTTACAAGAAAGCCGTTTTTTGGCTTGTTTTATAAAGGAACTTTCTAAGGATGTAATTTGTCTAATAAATGGAGAAAGCTACCTCCCAAAATGCAAGGTCTTTGTCCCAAAAACTCAGTAAGTGTTTTCCCAGGTCATAACAGAAAGACCGCTTGCTTTGCATTTGTGCTTGAATCAGAGAGCTGTGCTAGGCCCCCTCGGATGCCAAGACTTTATGGCCCTGAAATGACTGTTTCTCTCCAGATACCAGCAAGCACCAGGAGTACCCAGAAGGCTTCCCTTCACTGTCAGGACAACCCACTACAGTTGTACCTACTAGAAGAGATGGAAGACGCTATTATGGAAACAAAGAACAAGTCCAATGGGTCCTTCCTCTGCTTGCAGAAATACCACTCTTGTGAAATCCCTTCCTCAAAGTCCTGTGACAGTCTCACAGGTCCTAAGCCAGCAGTGACTCCTGGGAGAGAAGACTGTGTCCTCCCTAATGAGAGCATGATTAAAAAGTTTGGTGTGTGGGCCATCGTGGATGGTAATTTCTGTCAAGCTGAGTATCAGAGACCTTCTCACATCATAGGCTTGATTCCAGCGGATGGCCTTGCCCTTTACCCTGTTTCTCTCCCTACTCTTCACCGGCTCGCAAAGGCCACCTTCCTCCTTTACTGGCACCGCAGAGAATACACCAGTCTCAGTGGAGAGATACTCATTTGCCTTTATATCATCTGCGAAGAATAAGGAGAAATGAGATCTAAGTAATGAACAAGTAGATCACTGAGTGTGAAAGGAGGTTTGAAGGTCACATAACCTTCATGGTACTTTCAAGCAAGCAAGCAAACAAACAAAGCCTTTTCCAGAGAATCTCTCATATCCCCAGGTGCCAGGTTTTTGAAGGTATGAAGTCCAGGCTTTGGGGCCTTGGGTCCCCCATGTTCCCATCTGGTTTGAGTTCCTTAGATATATTTTACATGTTATTACGTGGGAAAGTCAAGTTTGTTTCATTTCTCAGGCTTCCATATGGCCTCCTTTTATGGGCCATCATATCTTCACCAACTGTGGGGCAGGGAGCAGGGAGGGATGTACCAAAGGCTAGGAGGAACATCTGTGTGCATGAAATGAAGAGAGGAAATTTCATCAGGAATTCAAATCCTCTGTTTCTGGCAACTCTGTCCTTCATTTGAGGGACATTTGGGTCCAGTGGAAAATGCCAGCCTCGCTGCACAGGAGTCTAGAGGCAAACCGTGGATCTGGAGAATGAGGCCTGATAAAGCTGGTGTAGCAGGACCAGGATCTCCCTTTGATCGGCCACTGGACCACTCCTCATCTCAAGAAGAAGGAATGTGAAAATATGCTCTCCTGGGAAACCAGGAGAGGTCAATTCTAGTCCCAGTTCCAGTCCTCCCTATACATATAACTTTGAGGAAGCCACCATAAGGAACAAAGTTCATTTCAGAGAAAACACTTTAACACTACTGCCCAAGTGTGTGAGGATTTTTAGTGAGAAAGCTCAATGAACTTGCATTACCATTGGGCCACTGGGACTTGGCTTCCAGATCCCAAACAAAGACCTCTTTTTCTAGAATCTGTTTGGAAAATAAAAAATCCATGAATAGTTAAGTCATCAGAAGTGACACTTTTCTAAGATACAAACTGTTCTTTCCTTGAAAAGCTTCAAGACATTTACACTCAAATCAAAAATGAGTGCCCTGTACCATTTTCTTTCAGTGTTCAGAGATGGCTGGGCTGAGTGTTTCTCTCCATAAAATCAGATCCACTTTAGAGAACACCAGTCCTTCTAGAAGGCCTACTGTGAGGAACCACAGTTTGGCTCAGTGGGGTGTGTCTCTATTTAAAGAGAAAGTGACAGTTGGCCATTCTGTCCTTAGTTCACTGCCTGCCAAGTGACCACGAGTTGTACCCACCAGAGCTGCTCTGTCTGAGAGCGCGTAGACTCCCAGTCTGAAGTCACACTGGGATGTTAGCATGCACAGATGGTCAAATGAGGATTAAATGTGATAATGGATGTCAAGCTCTTTTAAAACCATAAAATATGCCACAAATGTCTGAGATTACTATGATGACAAACTCAGGACCAGTTTTACATGGAGAGAAAGTAGGCAGCTTGCCTACATTCCTCTAGGCCCTGGAATACCAGCATCATTAGAGCACAAGGAATTGAAATTCTTTATATTTTAAGTCTCGTATCCAATTATGGAATTAACTGTCATTTGAAGTATGTTGACTATAACATAAGTTTACACACACATACCAGGTTCTTTCAAGAAAGCAAGTTTTAATGGGTGGAGATCTCTGGACATTTAGTCATGGGTGAAGAGGAAGTACAGAGAGGAAGAAAAATAATATTGTAAGGCAATGGGAAGAAAAACAGATTAAAGAGAAGGTGGGACCATCTCACGAAATAGCATAATTATAAAGCAGGGTGACAAGTGTCCATTTGCAATTCCATGAGGAATGAGATGACAATGACCAGTGGACTTTTTGCTCCCTCTAGAAGAGAGAAATAAAATGATCGAGAAAAATGTGCCAAAGTCACTCCATCCCTCGTACCCTTACGCATCTGACAGGGGCAAAGTCCCACATGTGGTTTTGCCTGACTCTGAAACCCCAAAATATTGGGGTGGTTCTAAGCAAAAATGTGTTTCCAGCAAATCGTCATGGGTCGGTTGAGGCCTTCATCATTGTTCCTGAATAATTACCATGAAAAGGTTTGTAAAAGACATTCAGCTTGTTATGGTCGTGTGAGTACTGACCAGGTTCCATCCAGATCCTAGGTCCATTGAGCTACTTGGAGTTTGACAGAAATCACAGCTGAAACCCTCCTGAATTTCTTGAAGATGTGGCATCACTACTCATTGGAGGGAGGAAAAAAAGGAACTGACAGCCCTTTCTAAACATACAACATTAATTTCCCTACTCAATCTAAATTCAGCCAAAAACCTAAACAGCTTAAAGCACTCTCACACTAAATGAAATTTCAAATCATAAATGAAAGAAGAGTTTATTGCCTGAGGAGCTGTCACCAGCCACAGCCTTGCTACAAAATTCACCTCCACCTACAGGGACTGCCGTCAAGAAACTTCTCCAGACCGATGCTTGTGAGTGTCCCCCGATAGCCTCACTTTATCTCTTCCATGTCCTTGGGTTTTCCAGAGACGAATAGGACAATGGGACCTTGGGTGCCCACCACCAAGCCCACTGGCTGGAGTGCAACCCGTTCTGCAGTGGAACCACCTGCCAAGGGCTGGGCAGTGGGCAGCAGACCCGAGTGGGAGGCCAGTTGCCGACAGCAGGCTCCACTCCACAACGGCCTCTGATGGGCCTCCACACAGCAAAATGGGGCAGCACTTGCCAGCAATTAAGAAATAATGGCATGGCACTGGTGCATTTGGCAGAATAGGATCTTCTCTGGGTCACCTGACTGCCTATTTCGTAGGAAATATGGCCTATAAGATGGGACACACACTCACTCACAACCCAGCGGGGAGTTATTGTGTTCAGACAGGACACCTGGTTCCAGGTACTGAGCAGCCTCCAGTTTCTCCGAGCCTCATTACGGGGAATAACCGGTTCCATATCAAACAGAGAAAGGTGCCACCTTCCCTCCCCCAAAGCTGTTTCCCTGGGAGTTCGGTGACAGGCCACGTGAGGGAGCAGTGCCTCTGAATGAGAGACTAAGAAGTAATCACAAGGGAAACAACACAGACTCCAACATTTGTTTTCTTTCCAATCCCCTTGTAAACTAGAACATGAGGAAAATTCCTTTATGTTTTTATCTCTGGAGAGCAACTTTTTTCCTGAATTCAACCAAGCCCGTTCTCCTCCTGAATTTGAGAATGCCTTGTTCCGAATTCTCCCCACTCCCACCCACCTCCCCCCGGCACGTGGTCTGCTCCTCCATGTCACCTGGTCTCTGCTTGCCTAGGACACTCTCTACCCCTGGACTGCCACGTCCCGAGGGCACAAGGCAGGACTCCTTCACTTATACCCATGGGGGGTTAGGGAGGTCAGGTAGCGTGCTGACCACATAGCAGGGAGTCAGGAGATACTGACTGAAGAAGTGAGTGGAGCACATAAAAAGTGGACATTGTTGAAATGGGATCGAAGATTACATCGATATTTGGACCCTGGGGGTCCAACAGATGCTTCCTTCTGGTGACCAGCGGTAAACAATGTGTTTGCTCTGAAGTGAGGCCCCGGGGAGGTTTGTACCCAGCACCCCCTTGTCCAGGCCTTTGGATTACAGCAGCACATGTGTGCGTGTGCGGGGGGGGGGGGGGTGCATGTGTGTGTGCACATGTGTGTGTGCACATGTGTGTGTGTGCACGTGCATGTGGGGTGTGTGCATGTGCATGCATGTGTGCGTGTGTGTGCACGCATGCGTGTGTGGAGGGGCATGTGTGTGTGCACGTGCATGTGGGGGCATATGTGTGTGCACGTGCGTGTGTGCACGTGCGTGTGGGGGCGTGCGTGTGTGGAGGTGCGTGTGTGTGTGGGTGTGTGTGTGCATGCACGTGGAGGCGTGTGTGTGCACATGCATATGTGTGTGTGCGTGTGCATGTGGGGGCGTGTATGTGCATGTGTGTATGTGTGCATGCGTGGGGGCGTGTGTGCACATGCATGTGTGTGCACATGCATGTGGGGGCATGTGTGCACGTGCATGCGTGTGTGGGTGTGCACATACATGTGGGTGTGTGCGTGCATGTATGTGTGGGCATGTGCATGTGTGTGTGGGCATGTGTGTGCACGTGCAGCTGTACAATGAGAGGAAAGAGACCGGGTACACCTGTGCATCTCTGAGCCTGGGATAGGCTCGGGCTCTCGCTGTCTTACCTTGTTGTGATACTGCAGCATCTGAGTGATGATTCTTATCTTCGGATGGTAGTTTTTTATGGAGATTACTCTGAAAAAGAAAGAGCCAAAGCTGAGGCAGGGTCTGCCTTACTCTTGAAGTCTGATGGGAACATGAATTTGCACCCAGAGTGAATGTGGGACCAGCAGCCAGGCCCATCAAGAGGGCTTGCGGGCACAGGACCAAGTTAAACTGTGTCCATCACTGTACCCCATGGCATGAAAAAGAAATCCACAGAACGGCCACAGACTGTGCCCTGGGCAGAGAAGAAGAGAGCAGTCCTGTGGTGCTTGGTGTCGGCGTGTGAACCCGCGTGTACTGGGGTGGGGGCTCCTGAGCAGGGGTCACAGGCTTACTGCCTACATAGACATGTAAATAAGGCAAGCTTTACCCACGGGGCGAGGGAGGTTTGCCATCTCACATACCCTAGGGACGAGCCTGAAACAATTTGCCCTGAGTCCAATTCTCCAAGTGAACAACTTGAGACAACAATGACAAATCAAACAAGCAGCCTGACAAATGATACTAATTGTCACACACACATGGCCACTCACAGAAATTATTTCTGAGCAGGGCTCTTATGATGGGATCAATGACTCAGCCTTCGATAGATAATAGTGTCTAAATGATGACTTTAATGCTGGTTGGAAATAAAAACCAAGGCCTGGTGGGGGCTACAGTCTGGTAGAAAATGCCACTCTCCCCCCAACGCCACGCCCTGGGAAACTGCCCTCAGTCTACACTCCGTATGAACCACTGCCCTCCCCCACCCCACCCCTCGCTTCTGCTCCCCGAGACAGTCACTGGGCTGTAAGTGGAGGAATAGAAACACCTGGATTCCAGTTCCAGTCTTGTACCAAGGAACTGGGTGACCTTCAGGAAATCCCTGGGCTCTTTGTGACTGTTTCCTCTTCTGGACATTGGGGGCAATGGTACCTGCTTTATTTATTTCACAGGCTTTGGTATGAGCAGCAAATGAAAGACCAGATGTGGAAATGCTTTGAAATCATTAAAAGCTCTCTCCACATGTAAGTTATGGTTTTTGTCATTACCGACTCTGTCAGAGGTGACATTGCACATTTCCTTCTGTGACAAAGAAAGCTAAAGAATGGAATTCCACAGAATGGCGCACCTCCTAAGCCTAATCAGAAATGCAAGCGCGTTTATTAGGACCACCCCCACAAACTTTGCACCAAGAACCGTCTCCATGCTTCATCCCTTTTTTTGTGCAAAAATGGAGAGAAGGCAGTCAGGGAGCAGTTTTTTTTTTTTTTTTAAATTGAACATTTTTTTTTAAAGGTTTTATTTATTTATTTGAGAGAGAGAGAATGAGATAGAGAGAGTATGAGAGGGGGGAGGATCAGAGGGAGAGACAGACTCCCTGCTGAGCAGGGAGCCCGATGCGGGACTCGATCCCGGGACTCCAGGATCATGACCTGAGCCGAAGGCAGTTGCTTAACCAACTGAGCCACGCAGGCGCCCCAGGGAGCAGTTTTGTCTGAAAAGCTGCAACTTGTGAATTTAGGAAATGGATCGCACAGAAGCCTCTTCTGCACAAATTCACCCTGGCTTTTGCACTTTAAGGAATTCATTTTATTTTTGAAAAAGTGTTGTGTTGGCTCTTGCTTATAACTCAAGGACTTTGAGCCTCGGTCAGCCCTCAGAATTCAGTTCACAGCCTCCACTGGTTTTCTGCATTAGCTCATTTCAAATGGATCTTTGACATTTTAATTTCAAAAGGGGCAGATTGGTCTCGTTAAACTAAGGAGAAAGGAGGATTATACAAATAAGGGAAAGCCGGAGCCCAATTTTTAACCCTGAACTTCCCGTTTCCTTTCACTGCCTGGGCCTTAGTTCTGATTCTGGTTAATGGATGGCTTCACTACATTTCTGACGCTACCTTTGTCCTGTAATTTTTATGCGGTGGCATCATGCCAAACACCCTGATAACTTACATGTCTTCATATTAGCCCTACCGCAGCCTAAATGAAATATTGCGATTAAGAGAAATGCCCATTTCCAAACTATTACTCATTTCAATTATTCACTTTTGGAAGGAAAAAAAGAAAGCACTAGCCCCAGACTTCTCTGGGGGTCTACACATTCAACTTTATCTTCTTTTGTTTTTTATGTCTGAAAATCTGAAAATCAGGAAGCCTAGTTCCTTAAAGGCTACATTTTTGTCATTTCAAATGACACAAAAACGGGGCAAAGGATGGAAATCCTAGTTCAGGGAAGGGGTCACTGAAGCTCCTGATGCTGAGCTGTTGTAGTCACTTTCCAGCTGTGCCTAGTTAGGGGGTGGACCCAGGTGTGGACGCACGTCCCCACTCCACCACCTCCCTGCAGGCTGGTAAGCCCCATGCGGACAAGAGTTCATGCATCAACTTCCTTAAAGCAACTGCATGAAGGGGCTCCTGGGTGGCTCAGTTGGTTAAGCGACTGCCTTCAGCTCAGGTCATGGTCCCAGAGTCCTGGGATCGAGTCCCACATTGGGCTCCCAGCTCGGCGGGGAGCCTGCTTCTCCCTCTGACCCTCTCCCCTCTCATGCTGTTTCTCTCTCTCTCTCTCTCTCTCAAATAAATAAATAAATAAAATCTTAAAAAAAAAAAAAAAAAAAAAAAACAACGGCATGAAAGCATATGGCCAAAGAAAAGTGGGAGGAAAGAGAACACTGTGCCAGATGTCGCTTGCCAGACACAGGGACCAGATGCTGAGGGAAAAATGTGCTCATCCCAGAGGCACCGAAGGATGCCCCCTTCCCCACCTCAGTGACGGGAAAGCTCATGTCACTCGGGGCCACCGATGAGAAGCAAAGGAAGGAAGGTGGGAGCATCGTGATGATGCAACTTCCCAAGCCCTCACCCCAGGTACATTCCCAGGCCACAGCAAACCAAGCTGCACCGAGAGAGAGTTCTGTATGGACCAAAGGATGGCTGCTCACAATTAGGCAAGAGTTCTTGGGAATGTAGTGGGAGGGAAATGTTTTCTCTTAGTTCATCTCTTCTCTCCAGAAGCATCTCTTTATTATTCCCTTCCAACGCAGGAGGGGAAAAAAAGAATCCTAAGGGGCTTTAACTCTCTGGAGCTAAATATCTTTTTTGTCATTCCATTGTCACAGAACAGTGGTCTTCTGAAATGAGAAACGAATAAGGAGTGGGGGTCAGCCGTGTCAGGCCAGGCCAGGTCATGGCCTTCCATGTGCTTCGCCTGTTTCCAGGGAGGGCCCTGGGCAGTGTTCTCCAGAGTGTGCCCCTGCCCACCCAAAGATGTTCTGTAAAGAAAGGGGGGGCGGGGCTTGGAGTCAAATAGGTTCAATAATTTCTCCGTAGAACATTATCTTAGAAAAGCATTTTAGTATTAAAAGCACTGAGAAGGCTTTCAGTGAAGACACTCTTTCATTCTGGGAAACTGGCCGAAACAAGCTCACCAGTCAACCAACTCCTCTTTGTGGGGGATATTAATCAACATACTACAGACACACTCAGAAAGTTCCAACATAGAGCTTCTCAAGCTTGGTACCACTGCCATTTGGGGCCCAGTAATTCTCTGCTGTGGGGAACTATCCTGTGCACTGTAGGATGTTGACCAGCATTCCTGGCCTCCACCCCCTGGGATGTGAACAACATCATCTCCTTGTTACGACAACCAAGAACATCTCCAGATATTTCTAAATGTCTTCTGGGGGACAAAATCACCCACAGTTAAGTCATTTCGGGTCCACTCCCCCTTAGGGAAAATGGTACTTTACTTCAGGCCTATCCCCATCTCAATCTGTCTGAAACATCTCAAACCCAAGACCCGTTGTGAGCCCCAGGTCTCCCCTCTGCCAGGGATAACCTTCCTGTCGACGATGCCTTGTGTCACTGCCCTCCACAGCCACCAGTGCCTCAGCTCCCCCTGGACCTATGCTTTGGCAAGGTGTAGGGTGGCTTATGAGGGATAGAAGTTCCCACAGAGATGGTGCTCTGCAGAGAACCCAAAAGGGCAGCCAATGGGCTGCAGAGCACCAAGTCCTGAGCCTTCCCTGGCCTCCCCGGTGTTACCTCATTATGTTGGAGGCATCTTCAGCATCAGGGTCAGCGCAGTACTTGTTGGCAAGGATGAGGCACGCATCTGCTGACTCTATCTAAGACACCGAAAGGGAAATCACAGAACACAAACATATAAATAGCCACGCTTGGTTGCAGTCTTTCTCTGTTGACAGCTTTTGGGGAATCTGGTGCTTTGCAAGGAAAGAAAAAAAATAATCCTGAGAGATTATAGTTTTTGTCAGAAGTGTAGGTTGCAAGTTCTTGTTATGGTTAAACATTTCATCTTGTTGTTGTTCGAGGGTACAACATGTATCTTGGCAATGAAACTTTTCAATTTGCATAGTCACTTAGATGTAATCTTCCCAGATTTCTTTAAATAACAATTAATGAAGCCTTTCAGTCCCCTCCCTGCCTCCTTCCCCGAACAATGGATCTACCCCATCATCCTAAATTTTTTAGTCGGGAAATGGCGTTAGGTGAGCTAAACCCCTTCTCTGAGGTTACCAAGTTAACCGAATAGTCAGGGATTCAGAAATTGAGACTCCAAAGTCCTTCATCTGACCTTTTTCACATCTTGACGGTGAAACAGAAGGAAATAAGAGCCCTAAATCAGATAACAGCTCAGTATTGTTTAGTATTCAATTAGCATTCAGATATTCAAAAGACAACAAATCTATGTGTATGAAATGATGTGTTACAGATGAACTCAAAACCTACTGACTTACCTAAACATGAGCCAAAATAAGATTTATGCCTTTGAGGGAATGATGAGTTATGTTAATAATTGCTTGCATCTAAATTAGGTCCTTGAACAGTAACTATTTTCTCCAAGTTCTCATTAGAGTTCACATTAGTCATAACTTGGGTCATGTCTGGATAATATTAAGAGTAACTGGACTCTATAAGCATAAGAATTCTCATGCTGGCTCAGGTCTGCAATCTGTCCCACTTGTTATGTTGTATTTAATAGACCATTCCCGCATTTTGGTGGGAGGCCATGGTTTCCTCCATGGTATGTCACAAATTGTCTCTAGTTTTCTTTAATAATCCAAAGAATTTACCCAGATCCTTCTGCTTATTCACGTTTGCCAATGACATTATTTACTAAATTAAGTAGTAACCACAGTTAACATTTAGATGTCAGTGGATTCACAATATTAATCTATACCCACTGCCATGCAAATATTGAATGTGCTTACAAAATCTATATAAAACGAGCAAAGTAGCAGATGCCACTTTGCTGTATCCTTTTCCTTTATAAGCCTCAGGTCTGCTTTATAAGAAGATTCTAACTTAGCAGAATTTGGAATGAAAGATTAGCCCTTTACCAAGTGATATCAGATATCTGCATGTTTAGTTTTGTGTTTTTAGTCTTTGGTAGTGGAAAAAAAAGGAAGCTCAAAATGTTTTATGGCCTAGTAGAATTTTATTTATACTTTATCCTTCATGTTCCTTTCCAATGTAAATAATAGATTTCAGAGCTACACTGAGTCCAATTTAAGTATTTAAGATGGGAATTACTCTATTATTATCTTGTATATGGGTCTCCTGAATCCGTACAACTGGTCTACTCCCTTGAGGAGTGCTGATCTTGAGGGAACCAGCAAAGTAACTTTCATTTTATGACTCGTCCAAGTGAGGGAAGTGGTCTAGCAAGTGCCAGTGGAACGAAGCTCTGGGACCAGTGGAAGGGTGATGTCAAGGCTGGTGGCATCTGACTTATCTCATTAGGGGTGTGGAGGTGACTCTTGGCCATCCTAGGAGGCATATACCCTCACCACAGAGTCAATCTCCCTCTCAGATGGAGTAAAAGCGGAAGTCACCTCTTCCTTCTTACCTTGACTCTTGCAAGATCATGTGGATTGAGGACTGAACCCTGATAAAATTCCACCTGAGTAAAATGTCGTTTGAACAGAGCCTCAAGCTCCAGGTTAGGGGAAATGCTGGCAGGGAGAGAAGAAACAACCATTAATAAAATAGACTCAGGTATTCCTGCTTCCATGGCCTTCTTTCTTTCTGACTTCCAAAGAGAAAGACCTAGGAAAAGGCTTTCACCTTCAAGGCAGCGCCCTTTCTTGCCAGAAATAAAAGGTTCACACTCGAGAGAAATAAAACCCCAGCCCCCTGAAAACCCAAACCAGTACTGAGGTAAAATAAAGAAGCTCACGGTCTTCACAAGTCTGAGGCCAATGAGGCGAAATGTCTTCAACTTTGTTAGGAATGGAATCTCTATTTTATGAATAGAGACTGAGCTGTGACATTAGAGATTAGCCAAAGGTGCCCCTGGCAGAGCCTCCTGCTGTTCCCTCCCTCAAAGCCTTTTCCCTGCTTCTCAGCCACATGGACTTCTCATGTCCCTGATCCCAGGGCCTGGATCAAAACATGTCACCTCTGAGCAGCCACAGACAGAGATAATTTACTCTTGGTACTGTTCTTGATTCACACATGCATACACTCCTCATCATTCTTAGTGCTGAGCTGTACAGACATCTTTCCCATTGGAGGACAAGGATTAAAACACTGATTGACCTATTCATCCATTTATTACTTCTGTAGAGATGAAAGATATCTACTCTCTATAGGTCTTAGGCTAGGTGCTGGGAGATGATATTTGGTTCGAACCTACTAGGTACCAAGAACTGTGTTAGTCAATGCTTGCCTAATATTCATTAAGTGCTTAGTATGAATTGTTAATGTTTTCCAGAACTTATTATGTGGCAGACACCATTCCAAGCACTTGACAAGTATTAACTCATTTAAACCTCAAAACAACCCTGGAGGAAGGGATGTTATTAACCCAAAGCCTCAAGAGGTTAATTAACTGGGCCATCTACTACAATGCTGACACTGACAGATGCTGGGGACACGAAGGTGAATCCCAGCAAGTGAAGCATTAGCCGCCAGCTTGTTGATCAGACTCAAGCAGTGGGTGAGAGAGAAACAGAGCCTGTGCAAATCCGACCAGTCTTTGAGATCCATTACTCGTCAGGCCCCTCTTGGGAAGTCTGCCTGGTCATGCAAGAAATGGTGGTCTCTCCCTGACACAAATGCCTAGTGCAATTCTACCTCTTGACTAAACCGACTTCAGTCAGTGAATATAGGTTAGATGTTGAGCTCTAATTGTTGCACACGTGCTCATCTTGAAATGCCCAACCAATATGAGGGCAGAACCTACGCATGCTACTTCTCTTGAACCTTCCATAATGCTCTGCAGAGGATGGGCCCCTCGGCTGGTAATGAGAGGCTAAGCACTGAATTGTATCTGTGAGTTCTGCTCCTGTGCTGATGGCCTGGCTGGTCTTTTCAGAACTTGGAGAATTCAGTGCTGAGAAGCAAAATGCTGGCGCTCAGACATGGTGGTTATTTTGGTACTCTAGGAACAAATGTCAAAAGGAAGGAGATGCACAGAACAGAAGCTTATAGGGAAGTCAATTTCCATGGGATCTTGGAGCAGGATTGAGGCCTGGGCCGTCAACCCCCTATGGAGCCAACACCAACTCATAAGCTTTGTCCCTTGGTAACTTGGGGCTGGTGCTGGCCCTATGGTGGCCTCATTTCCAACACAAAAGAAGACAGTGCCACCCAAGTCAACATGCCTGAGTCCCTAGACTCTCTATCCCTGTGGCAGACTAACTTTTACCTAAAAGGGGATCAGACGAAGCTTAAAATCCCAACATTGAGCAGATGGAGAGGTCTTGCTTTCGTCAACTGTACAACAAACATAGTAAGATCTATCTTCTAAGTTGCTTGTCAACCTAATATATTTTATCTTTCACAATAGCTAACATTTATTGAGCACTTACTGTGTGCCTGATTCTGCTCTGTATACTTTACATGGATTATTTCCTTTCATTCCCCCTACGTGGTAGAATGAAACCATTGTGATCTCCCTATCTTATGAATGTGAAAACTAGGGCCCAGGGAGGCTAAATAACTTCTTCGGCAAGAGTCATATGGAATACTCGTACTTTGACTCCCTGTGTTGACGAAAGGAGAGATCGTATGTCCGGGGACCAGCACAGGTTCCTATACCGAGGTTTCTAGAAATGGCAATTGTTGTTGCAGCTGTGGTTAGTACTTTATACCCTGCTTCCTCTTACGTTTACGTCTTGCGTGGCCACTCTGTCGCTCCTGCCCTTGTAAAGAATCCACATCAGACAGCTAATCATTCCACACCAGACACTGTGGAAACACCTGGATCAAATCGATCCAGACAGCTGATGGGACAGTAATGATGCGTTTGACCCATAACGAACTTCATTCTTACTTGCCAGAATTGCCTCCACAGAAGCAGGTACCGTTCTTACCATGGACTAACAGGTTGGTTCCCTTTCCATTGGCTCCATATTATCCTCTCCAAGGAGACCACCTGGGGCCATGGCCAATTCAACTCTGCACTGCCCCCCACACGGCCCCCCACACCACCACTCCCACAGGCACTCAGGGAGTCCTCCTCAGGGTGCCTGGTTGGGTGGAGGGTCTCAAAACAGCAGAGGCCCCTTACTTGTGAAGAAAGACGATCTCCACATTGACATCATCCCGGTCCTTGTGCAGGAAGTCCTTCAGGAAGTTGGAAACACTCTCCAGAGTGATGTGTCCGCAGACCACAATGTGCCTGAACAGGAGAAGCCAGTTAGATGGGGCCAGCCCTGCACTGACCTGGCACCCACCCCGGGCAAGACAGAGGAAGCGCACAGCTGCAGGGAAGCATTCATCTCCTCCCGAGGCCTCAGTTAAAGCCCAGCTCCCATCCCCAGAGGGCCGTGAGGCAAAGCAGCGGTGCTGGCAGGTGCTCAGAGACTCCTCGACAGAAAAGGCATATGGCTTCTCACCTGATGCTGCACAAAATCCTATTAAAAGCCCAACCGTTTGGCCAAGTGGTTTTATGCATTGAACAATAAGTGACATTATGCTTGTGCTTAAATGCTGCATTATCAAGTCCCTTGCAGATTCATATCTTTCCCTTTCTGCCCACAAAGCGTCCTCTTGAGAGATTTACCGAATGAGTCTTGGTTTATGACATAGAGCTTATCAGGTAATGAGATAACAAATCTTGCTGAAACGATGATTTTGTGTGTAAGAAAGCAGACTTTTATCAGGGTGGCTAATGTGCGGCTTGACACGTTATGGGCTCTGCTGGCCATAAGCAGTAAAAAGGAAATTTTGCATTTTTCCGCCATAACTCCTCCGACAATGGGGGCATGTAACACTTTACAGTAAGTGAGCATTAGTCAGGGCTAAATGGGGATGGGACGCCTATGGAATCGGAGATCATGCTGCAGGCTGTGCATCCCCAGGTAGCTGTTTCCCTAGGGTGCCCGGGATTTCCACGAGAGCCAAAGCATTTTACTTCAAGATGGGGAGAAGCTAGAAAGGGAAGAGGCTGGAATGGTTTGCCTTGATCCAGCGAGGTTTGGACTTCTGTTTCTGGAGATGGTGGCTTCCCCTGAGGAGATGAGCCTCTTTTCCAGAACTGCTGGGACAACCATCCCCCCGACATCTTTGGGCTCCTGGACCCATCTGATAAATCTGAACCAATCTGGCTACCCTGTGGCCATTGACATTTGCTATCTGATGCTCCATCAGGACTAAGCCCTTTGGTGCAAGGGTTAGCCCCACGACCCAAAGCCAGGGCCTGACTGTGGAGAGGAAACCTGCTGGCTTCTAAAAGAAGACAGTAGCAAGGGGCTCAGCCCAGGTCCCTGTGCCTCTCGGGCTGCTAGGGAAAGAGGCTGAATCCCTGGCCGGGCTCTGAGGTATGGGCAGGTGGCGAACACTGAAGCACGGTAATTTCGTGGGAAAAAATTTAGAACGGCTAGGCCCCTTGCACCTCATAATTGCTCGGTGCACATTCCAATAAGGTAGAAACCTCATTGGCTGGAGGCAGCTCATAATGGGAGGAAGTGATGATCACTTACGCAATGTTCCATTAGATGCCATTACAAGAGCCTGCCCTTTCGTTGTAATTTGGTGCTTGACTAAGTATGTGAGAATAAGGCAGTAAACTCATTGGTGAAAGGATAATGATGCAGAACAAAGAGTAAATCAATAATATGCACGATGCAGTTAATAATATCACCATTATGGACTGTTATTGTTACGGTGCCGCACTCAGTGGCCGGGCAAGCGAAGGCCATCGCAGGGAGGAAAGACTGTCCGTGGGCTGCCTCAGAAAAGACGTTCCAACACGATCACTTTGTTCTCTAGCCAGTACCGGCCAGGTTCAGGGAGGTCCCTTGGCCACCCATCCAAATGCCCCAAACCCACATAACTAACTCCCTCCCGAAATACACCCTGTGTCAGAACACGGGATGTGAACAGAACACTTGGATTACACACATTTTTATCCTGTCATCTCTTAAAATATTTCTTGTAGCACATGTGCACTTACATGGACAAAACAGGCTACAAATGAACTTGCATGTTTTGCATAAGATTTCTGATTCTGAATTTGCCAGGTGTGTGCAGAAAGTGACCCGAGATGCAGGATTCCCTCCTGATCTGACATCTAGGTCTGCATGGGGGCAATTCTAATGCCTTCTGCCCACAGACTCCCATGACTGCGAACAAGGCCAGCGTGAATCGATGTATGGGCACCTCCACAGGACAGATATGGGGTTGGGGCCCTCCGCCTCACCTGGATGTGAGAATAAGCCAGACTGGATCCCTTGCCCTGCCACCAAGGATGTGTGTGACCCTGGGCAAGCTCCTTATTCCCATTCAATAGATGAGAGAGCTGAGAGGTTAATGCCACCCAGCCAGGGTGAGCTGAGCTAACACAGGGCTCAAAGTTCTATACCAGTAGAAGCCTGGTGATTACTCAAAGCTGGACTCGAATCAATGAGAGGTCCGGGTAAATGCCTGAACATTCATCCTTCCCATCCTGTGTGCAAAGGACTGAATGAACATCTGTCAGCATCCCTCTCCCTGTTCTGAAATCATTCATCTCCAGGACAGATGTGTGAGAAGTAGAAGGGAAGGAGATGAGTTCACCCTCTCACCCTTGAATCAAAGGCCCCGCCAGCTGATTTATTCAGCCTTAGAAAGAGTCAGGGTTCTCCTAGTTGAAAATGTGCTGGGTACATATAAAATATATTCCAGTGCAATCAATATTATCCCTTAAGCCTTTAATTAGCTTTCACTTCTCTTAAGAAGTAGACAAATGCAGGCAGGAGAGGAGAGAAAAAAAGGATTGACTTTTCTCATTTGATGTTAGCTGTCCAATACCATTCTAGACAATTGAGAATATATATCTTTTAGCTACAGCATGATTTCTGGGGTGGAGAGCAGCCTTTATCAAAAAGGAAGAAAAAAAATCTTCCTTCAACATAATTGGTATTTCTGCTCAGGAAAAGCGAGATTGATTGAAAGCAGATTGCCTTTTTGCCCAAGGAGAGTTATTAGGTACATTATCATGGCAACCTTGGAGAACCCATATTGTTCCAATCTGTCCTATATCTGATTTGAAGATTTATGACTTCCCCCCTTTGTGCCAATAATCATTTCCCTCCATTTTGTTTTCCATACAGTGGAAGTTATCAAGAAGCCCACATATTGAACATGTTTGAATGCAGTTAGAGTTGATGGATGGGGAGAAGTCACCTCTCTAACTCAGCATCTGCATTAGAAGATCAGCTCCCACGAGCCTGTGTCTGAGGGAGCACGGGGGGCCCTGCAGGAGCACAAGGGATGGATGGTGGAAAGGGAAAATTTACTTTCCAGAAATATTATCAAGACTTTTGAAAATTCCAGGGACTGTAGTTGGGGGAAGGGTATTATTGCAGGGAGAAGAGAAGCAGAATTTGTTGTATCCTTGATGATTGAAAATACAACTGAAAATATTCTAAGACTGGGAGCTGGGTGTGCTCTCCTTGGATACAGAGTGATGGTTATTCACGGTGCATGATTTAAAGGATGCCAAAAAGATCCTCATCCAAAATTATCTCTGCCAGATTCCATGACACCTACAAATCTACTATGTGAGATTTGTACTTTGATAGCCCTGTGTTAGCTCAGCTCAGACACTAAATAACTAAATAGTCTTAGGCAAGGTACCAATTCTGCATTTTACCACTATAAAGTCAGAATCTTGGAGGGGCTGGAGCTAGTACCTGATTCATGAGGTTATCTTGAGGATTTATTTAAATAGATAATACATGTGAAGGGCCTAGTAAAGAGTCTGGGTCATTGCAAGCATTATTAAATGGTAGGATTCATGTGATATCTATAAATCAGTAGGTAACAGATGTAAAGTGCTCTAGGGCCCCTGGAATCTCACCTAATCCTCAAACAACCCTATGTTCCTACAATCTGCATCTTTGCAGATAACCTCTCTTAACCTCAATTTCCTTAAGTCGCATGCCTGACATCCCACAGCAAGAAAGTGACTTGCCCAGGATGTGACCCAGGTCCGCAGCTCTAATGCTCACTAAGATGAAGGTGTTAGGGTGCAGAGAGCATGGGCTGGAGTATTTCAGCTTCTGCTCCTTGATGACAGGCAGGGCTTAGCCAGCAGGATGTCCTCCTGGTCACACAGTGGAGGGAATGCTGGAGGGGTTCTCACTGGGCCAGGAGAGAGGCTTAGCCTGGGGACTGGGATGGAAAGAGATGATTCTCACTTAAAACATCCCAATGTTGCAGCATCACTAAATGCTGGCTGCATGTGGTCAAGGCAACAAAGGCTGAGGGATGGCAGAAACTCTAAACCAAGTCTTTTACACTGAAGCCACACAATTTGGCAAGCCGAGGGATGGCAAAGTGATGCAGATATCCATTTTAGACATCATATGTTACGTCCAGCCCCGGATGCCTCACCAGCCTAAGGATCCCAAAGATAAATGATCCATTTACGGTGGAGAATATTTAGGAAAGTTACGCTATGACGGTAACTAACACTGTTCCCAATGTGGCTTTGGATTTGAGCTTCTTTAAATGATTGGCATTCTTAATGATGGATTTCTATAGGGCCTGGCCATGTGGTTTGTGAAGATGGCCAACAAACCTACATCAATAACCATTTCTGATCTGATGGGACTTCTTTGTTTTTAAAATTTTGTCAAGTTCTGTAAACAAATCTTTCTTGGGCTAAACTAATGTTAATGGCTGGATTAAAAGATTCCTCTCAGATGCATGAAGAAGCATCTTAAATGCTGGAATAGTAGCAGATGACATTTTGTGTAAAGGAGCTAGTCATCCAGTGTAAGCAAATTCGCCTGGTCTGGGGGCAGGGCTCCATAAACACAGGCTGAACTGAATTAGGGGGTAACACTCGTGTGTCATGGAGCAAACATGGCATCAGTAGATGAGTGTGACAACCACAATAAGAATAATGCTTGACTATTACAAACTCTATCAGCGTTCACCAAACTACCGAGTGTTTTTTTCATGAGTACATCTTCACTAAATGAATATGGGTGTGCCTCTCCCATCATTAAGCATCTCCACCCCCAAAATCAAATCCCACGAATTCTCCTCAATCAGTCTACTTTCTTCCTGGAGATGGCGGAGGGAAGCCAGGATGCCCCAGTTGAGTTGGGACCTGTTTCAGAGCTCAGTTCCATTGGTGCCTTTCAGAATGGGCAACTTAGGGGAGGTGACCTAGGGCAGGAGGCATAA